TATATATATATATGTTGTGTGTGTGTGTGGTACGTAGTGTGTGTGTGTTGTTGTGTGTGTGTGTGTGTGTGTGTGTGTGTGTGTGTGTGTGTGTGTGTGTACACGCGCGCGCGTGTGTGTGCGTGTGTGTGTGTGTGCGCGCGTGTGTGCGTGTGCGTGTGGGAAAAGACTAATCCCTGGGCATTCCCACAATGAGTGTGAGGGCGAGCCCACAATGTAGGGGTGGTCGGGTAGGGTATGGTTAGGGTTAGGTTTAGGATTAGGGTTAGGGTTAGGGTTAGGTTTAGGATTAGGGTTAGGGTTAGGGTTAGGGTTAGGGTTAGAGTTAGGCCTACCCTACACGACCCTACCCTACCCGACCACCCCTACACTGTGGATCCTCACAGAGTGCCCGGGGATTAGTCTTAACCGTGTGTGTGCACGCGCGCGCGGAAAGAATGTCAACGCGACAGTGTGATCAAATTCTTAATGTTATTTATTCAGAAACAATCCGTATTTAGTGGGAAACCCTATCATGATCAAATTCTTAATGTTAATTATTCAGAAACAATCCGTATTTAGTGGGAAACCCTATCATGTTAGTTGAGGCGTACTTCACGCGTAAACTCTCGCCGGCGCACGGACGATACGCTCTCCCATCCATCAGTGGCGACGTCGGATGGCTCATAATGAATGCAGAGTGAAGGCGACGTACATCGTGTTAACGTTAATGTTGAATCATCGGAGCTCGCTCGTATGCGCGCATGTTTGGGTTTGTTAATCATTCCCGCTTTTCTTGCAATGTCGGCTAAGGCATGAAATGATGGAAAATCCCAACGTTAGAGACATTAACTCTGACTTACAACGTTGATTAAGATTGTGTATGTTGGTAAAACGAAATGCTACATAATCGTTATTGTAATACGAATATGGTAGGTATGTACGCATATTACCATTTTATGGTGAATACGTCTGTAAAGTATAAATAAAGAAATACTAGTTGTAGCGCTAGTTGCAGCGCTACGACTGAATCGTACTAGACTTAGTTTCGATTAAACTAAGTTTAATTTGACTTAGGCTTAGTTAAGAGAGGAAACTGCGCATGCGTATAGGCGCGGTGAATTTGTCACAAGATTCGTGGACGTTTATTTTTGTTTTGACGTATTTCGTAATGATACTAATTATATCGTTCACGAGCTGCAATGAGCAAGCGTGCTCTCGCGCGCGTTAATAATATTTCGTTAGGAACACGTACAGCTGCTGCCGGTCGAAAGGGATTTGCATTATGAAATTCTAGAATAAGTGCTATGCGTAACATCTGCGAGTGTTCGCATAGCTCCTATTTCTGTCCATTATGCATACTGAATGCATACAGCGTACGTCATTGCGAAATTTACAAAATGAAAGTAAATGAATCATAGCTATCCCGTACGCATTCAGACTCAAACGATGTTGTTATCCGCCGGCATTACACTTTCCATGGTGGCTCCTAAGCGCCCTAGATTTTCATCTATACATGCCAATCAATCCTTTTAGGACAATTTTTCAGCTAATTTAGGTCATTTATGCAGGAAAAGCGAACCACAAAAAAACACCCAGACACACGAGTCGATTTTATGTCGAGATCAGTTACTCATGATTTAGAAAGGATCGCATTTTTTGCCACCATTAAAGCGCAACGTTTTCTCTTCTTTACTTCAGTGTACGCGGCAAGTCTGGGAGATGCGCTGCTGGTGTCTCACGTGAAACTCAAGGAAGGGAAGCAGAAATACGGCCGGCTAGAGATCGAATACGACAACGGAGAGGAAAGCAAATGGAGCGCGGTATGCAGCAAAAGTTTCAAGCAGGAATACGTCGGTAGGTGTGGAGCAGCGACGCGGTCTCTCTATATTTGTATTTGCTGCATAAAGGGCACGCCTTAACAGTATTAACTACATCCATTAGTACAAACCGCGTAAAAAATGTGGTTCGGCGTAGTGGAAATGCTCAAACACCCGAGGAATGTGACTTATTGTGCGCATCAAAGTGTTCACTATCGAAAATGTCTGGAGTCGTGGATGCAAACTATAGTACCGAACAAAACAGCAAAAGAACCATTTCAGTGGACATAGTGAACAAAATAGTATTCTGTATTCTAAACAAGGCAATTTGATAGTGAGGCATATAGGGACTAAGGATTTCACCTCTTTCTCACTCTTCGAATACCTGTGGTATACTTTGCCAAAATATGTCATCCATGGAGCGGTAAGTTAATTATGGGTTACTCACGAGGATCTGTGCGCGACGCTGTCTTTTAGAGCCACACGCTGTGAATCTTCACGCTATGATGGCTAAGGTAAGATTAGGATACGCATTAATTATGCGTCGTGATAGACAGTCCATCATTCACACATAGGTAGACTGTACGTTGATATATGCACATATACTATATATTAAGTATATATGTATTGTAGAGGTATGCTGTATATATATATATATATATATATATATAGCCGTAATTTTCTTGGGTGGTTTCTTTGCCTGGGCTACGATTAGAGTCTTTTTCGCTGACATTGCTTTCCAGTTGCTGCTTCGTTTCTCGACTGTTGAGTGCAGTAACACGTTTGTCATTATCCCGTGAGAGAATAGAACATTCTATACTCTGCCTTTTTTACTCATTTTCTATATCTCGCCCCTCGTATATATTTTCTTCTCGTCTCTCTTCCTTCTCTGCTACACGCTCCCGTTCATCTTCTTTATTCTCTCACCTGTCTTCAACCACATCTCTCTCTTCTTATAATATACGCTCTCTCTGCTTCATTCTCGGAGGTAGATATAGGAGGTGTGGCAACAAACTCCCTGTGCGCATCTTTCTATGGTAGAGAAGATGAGAGGTTATGAACCAGATTTAATGCCATAATTCACATACACGCATGCACGCACGCACGCACGCACGCACGCACGCACGCACGCACGCACACACACACGCACGCGCGCGCGCGCGATGACCGTTAGAGAAACAGAGAGACACTGCTTGCATATCACACACTTTTGCAACCATCTCTACACACCGACGGAGCCGATTTGGATTAATTAGACGCTAATTATTCATAACTAAGGTTAACGCTATGCATCACACACGCGGTAAATGCTAGCAAAACCGAGAAACACCGCATGCAGTTACATGCGCATACCCACACACCAGCCCCGCCACCCCTACACCCGCGCGGAGCACGATTTCGGTTAATTAACTATCCCCGGCATGTATGTCTGTGGAGCGCCACCCCTGGGAGGCTGGAAACATTGCCGACGAGCCAGCAACGCAGTATTTACCCCCAGTCGGCTCTGCTATTAACGCGTACGTGTATGAGGCTACCACCGGCTTCACACGCCGTGGCCTCAATAGCGCGCTCTAACTTTGAATTTCAAATTCCCCATCGAGATGGCAGAATCATTATTAAGAGTTGACCCGAGCGCAATTGGCAATGTACTGCGATATTCCGCGCGCGGGTGTGGACTGATGTCATGTATATGATGGATGGGTGATATATATGCAGCGCGGTTCAGTGTGTACTATGCGGCGAGACAGAGAGAGGGGAAGAACTATCAGTGAGCGTGTGAGTTAATATATTAACCTCTCTAGACAGAGTCCGTTGTTAACCGCATTTCGTGGCATATGTTCTACACGTATTTATATACGAATTCCCCCCTTAGAACACGAATTATGAAGATAGTATCATTTTCAGCAGGTTAGTGCTAGGAATTCAAGTCCCATAGAGTCCCACTGCTCACAATTTGCCGTCCTGCCCTACTTGTCCTGTAACATCGTTGGTCCTCGTGCTCTTTCGCTTCTGATCATTACCGGTACAATTTTATTCATTGATATTCACCTGGAGTTTCTACGTGACAATATCAATTGTCCGGAGTTTCTGTTACAATCAAGGCATTGTATTTATGTCGACCACTGAAGGGGCGACAGCCCGCGCATCTCTTACAAAGCAGAGATGTATAAACGCTTTGTAAATGTTGCGTGTCCATGTCAATTAAAAAATGTAGTCTCGACCCCTAATCTTAACCCTAACCCTAACCATAACATCAATCCAAACCCCAATATACAACCCCATCCTCAACACCAGCCCTACCCCTAACACCATTTCGAACCATAACCCTAACCCCAATCATAACTCGAACCCTAGCGCTAACCCTAACCATAACCCTAGGGCTAATCCTAACCATAGCCCAAATCATATCCCAAACGCTAACCCCCAACCCTAACCATTACCCTAACCCCAACCTTAACCATTATCCTAACCATAACCCTAACCCTAACCATTACTCTAACCCCAATCCTAACCATTACCCTAACCCTAACCCTAACCCCAACCCTAACCATTACCCCAACCCCAACCCCAACCCTAACCCTAACCCTAACCCTAACCATTACTCTAACCCTAACCCTAACCTTACCCCTAAGCCTAACCCTAACCCTAACCCCAACTCTAACCCTAGCCTTACCCCTAAGCCTAACCCTAATCCCAACGCTAACCATAACCCGAACCCGAACCCCTACCCTAACCGTGGATGTTCGTGTGCGCAGATCTCGTCTGTAAGAACCTCGGCTACCCGGTCGGCGGCACCTTCTGGAACTACCCGATCCGACGCAACAAGAAAGTAGCCAGCATCAACTGTGACGGGGCCGAGGCGATTACCGACTGTACCGTCAGCGACCGACTTCTACCGGGGGATGACGAATGCGAGAGATGCCACGGGATCGGCGTGATATGCGCACGTAAGTGTATTTATGGATTAAATGAGTAAATTAATTACCGTTTGAATTGTGCGTTTTGTTTATTAATTGGGAGTAATAATGGTTAGTTTAATAATGTGTCATATATAATGTAGATTATAAATTAATTACATGTTTTATTATATTTTTTGTATTTTTATTATTGTTTGTTATTTGTATATTTATTAATTATGAGTAATAATGGTTAGTTTATTAATGCCGGATATATATATAGTGTGAATAATAGTATTTTGCGAATAGTATTACACTATATTATTCTTATATATACTACTTTATATTTTGTCCTCTCATGCAACTTGATTCAGTTTGGCAAACATAGCTAGACTATGCTTGGAATTTGTTGCTTACAGATTAGTCACACGGATTCGCCATAAAATAAAAATACTTCTTTACCACTCTATCATATTTATTATTTATTAAACAATTAATTATTACTCTATACATTATTTATGTTATTTAATAATTAGTGTAAATGTTCCGACGCCCGAGATAGAGGCCGTAGGTCGGAGAGTCATTAAACAGAGAGCTCGTAAACAAGGATGTGTCACACTGAGCGAGATTCCTCTACAGCGTTGTGTAGTGCTGCGGAGAGAGCTGCAGCCGTTACATGCAATAAGCCATTATTTCGTGATGCAGTTAATGAAGATACTCATTTGACCGATCAACGTAATATTATTTTTTTATCGCATTCTCTCCCTCCGCCTCTCTCGCCCTCTCTCCCCATTCTCTCTCGCGCGCTCTCTCTCTCTCCCCTTCCCATGCACATTATAGTGTTGAACATGAAAATAATATATTTTTCTCTCGTATCAGATCTGCTATCGATTCTCTTCTGATTGCATTATTAATTTTGTGTGTTTACAGCGACAATGCGGCTGGCCGGATTCGATCCAATGATCGGACCGACGGACTTCAAGTCCGTTCTGCAGGTCTATCACGACGGCCAGTGGAAGGCGGTTTGCTACCCGGAAGTTCTCGACAGCAAGGAGAAGCACGGGATGCTGGGAGAGATCCTGTGCCGCTCTGTCGGACAGAAGAAGTTCGTCATGTGGAATAAGGCGTTCCGTCACGCCGACATGTTCCTTAACAACTACACGGAGCCGAGAACTCAGATGGAGGTGAGCGTCTGTCTGTGAGGGGAGGTGAATGTCGGCGGCAGGCATATACGTCGAAGGAATTGCGGCGTTTGATTTTACGTACACGTACAAAAAGCTCGCGTCATTAGCCTGGATTGGGGTTTTTCGTTGCGCGTTTTTGCAATAAAAAACTACATTTGCACTTTAGGCCCAACTAATAAAACGTGTATTAAAAAACTGTTGCGCCAGGAGATTTCCAAAATGAGTAAAAACGTTAAAATTTGGTTCAGCTAGAAGCAAACTCGACTTGTTGTCCAAATTAAGGGACAATTTTCAGTACATACCATGCATAGGTTCGTTCATGGATGCATGATATTTCATCGGATAGGCCGACAGCATCGCGAATACGATGCAGAAATCTGACACCCAAAAACAATATATCAACAGGAGCGCTAATATGAATGATACACCACATGTACATACAGGTTCACGAGTACATTATAATAAAGTCAATAACCTCGTACATTACAGACATGATATAAAATGATAGACTTGCTATGGTGGGAAGCGCCATTATCAAGGCTAAAATCACTAGTCTGCTTCATTAATATCGCCCCATGTTGCCAAGAATGGTACTAAATCAATCAGAGGGAGTAGTTTGTGCATAATAATGCACGGCGTATGGCATAATTGCCGCCGTAAATTTATCATTCACACGATTTCCTTTCGTCGGGGCAATTAACAAATGTAGTTTCACAGACCGTGTAATATATATATATATATATATATATATATATTACGTGTCGTACGTACGTATGCGTCGCACGCGCCCGCACGCACGCACGCGCACGGCAGCCACACGACATAGGCACATAGCACATTACACACACACACCACACACCCGGACACACAGCACGACACCACACACACACACCACCAGGGGCGCGTCCCCCCTACGCAACGACCAGCCACACACTACCCACATCACGACACACACACAACACAGCACATCACACCACATCACGTCACGCACGCACACACACAGATCTACGACACAGCCACACACACACAATTACATTATATATATATCGTGACTGGCGCCACGTATCATTAGCTATGAAAGGCTGTAAAGCGATTTTGATGGATTTACTAATTATTAAGTGCGTCAAAACAGCGCACATATTCGTGGCTATGATCATAGCAAACAACTAAAATCCTACATTCAAATGAAACGTAGCATCCCCCATAGCCAACTGGAGCAGATGTTACATTACTATGATAGTGAAATTATATTGTAATTTCTCAATTTTTACACCTATTTCACAAAAATCGCATAAATATGCTGCGTGGTCACATTAAATATAAATTAAAGACGATTAATGAGCTGCTACTTAATTTAAAGTAATGAATTAGTGAATTCGTGAGATGCTTTCTCTGCCGACTAGAATGGTTTCGTTATATCTAGCGGCTACATTGGAGACGACAAATACATTCTACGAAACAAGCGCGCGTTATCTTTGAAATCAATCAGCGAAACCCGCCTCATCTTTGGCTTCATATGTTTCAGTGAACATCTTGAAGACGAACGATTGTTCTACTCGGCGTCTAGACATGAATAAAACGAATGCAAAAAAGCCGAGACGGTTACGATCTTTAGCGTCCGCGGCGCTCGACGCTAGACACACAAATAATTCGTTAAAAGCATTTCACTAATTTGATCGGAGGGCAGATTTCAGCTTAAATGCCGCTTTAAATGGATAGCACAACTCTGACGTTAGATATTATCTGACTACATCGACTGAACATCAGAAAAGCACGCGCCGTTTGACGATCATTTTATTTATTGCTCGGGTAGCAGATCCTGTCAGTCACAGAATCACGCGCCAGAGTGTATGCAGAGCGAAGGAAGTACTGTAGCTAGATGGTAATAATGATCAGATAGATGCCCCTCTTTTGCTTTCTCTCTCTATCTCTGACTCTCTTCTTTCTCTCTCTCTCTGTCGCTTTGTGTGTGTGTCTCGCTGCTGCTCGCTTTCCGTCCGTCCGTCTGTCCGACGGTATGTATTTATAATACATTTATACCACACACACACACACCACACACACACACACACTACATGGTCACCCACACACACAACCCACACGACACACACATTCTACATCGCACGCACACGCGACATGCAGGCACAGGGTGCTCTGATGAGCGCACACGCACACGCACACACAGAGACTATATATATATAAATATAATATAATTCTACTAAAATTCAGAATCTTAATTGTAGCAAAGACTACTGTTCCACTTTTTAAGAGACGGATGCACACAAGTAACGCAATTTCTGTTCGTAACTGGATATATAAAGGATGGCTTTCATCGAATAACCACGTGCTATTATATGAGTCTAGGGATATCTATATGCGGCTTCTCTATCCACCCTGAGGCAGCACTTATAAACCGAACGCACATATTCTGGAGAAGCGAACGCATAAACAGACTGAGTGTGCTGTTGAATTTTCAACGAGAGGGGTATTAAACAGCGCGTGTAGGAAGCCAATATTCCACCGACATCCCCGCGCCTCTATTGCTAATATAATAATATTGCAGTCATATACGGCCCATTATCGCACCTAGGGCTCACCGAACCCAACACAGGGTGTGCGGTCGTAGTTGATTGTGTTGGCCGCTATATCAAACAGGCAGCCAGCCGCCCAGCAGTCTATTTGTTCAACGCTCTGTTACATGAGCTGTACGTGAGTCTGCGCTACGTACACATGCATATATATGCCGATGACGCATTCACGACGCTCGCATTTGTGATGATATGCAATTATATTACAAATTAAATATATATATATATATATGTGTGTGTGTGTGTGTGTGTGTGTGTGTGTGTGTGTGTGTGTGTGTGTGTGTGTGTGTGTGTGTGTGTGTGTGTGTGTGTGTGTGTGTGTGTGTATAATTATTTTTGTGCATATCGTATACTATATCGTATACTAAGTTTGTCGCTTTTGATTATGATTATAGCACCCGAATCAACGTGTCACTGTTTTAATTCAATTCAGCGAGCCAAAAATTATTAGTAGCAAAACTGGTTGGGCGCGTGATGCATGTTCTGATTACTTGTTCACCGCGGATCTTGTGTCTCATGTGCAGCTGACTTGCTACGGCGAAGAGATGGATGTGAAGGAGTGTAACCCAGTCTATACATCGAAGACTGCCGACGACGACTGCACCGTCATTCAGCTGACCTGCGCCGACGACACGTACACTGACGTCATAACCGAGGAGGCGGCGGACGACGACGAATTTTGCAACCAGACGTCAATGAGTGAAATAGGTGATCGTTCATAACTCTCTCGTGATGACTTGATTCCCTTCCAACATTAACTAACATCGGAAACATTGCACTGGTAGTACACCGGGCAATCACAAAATAATAATAGTATAGGTGTGATCGTGAAGCAGTGGGTGAAGTAAATCAGTAGGTGATAATAAACACAGGGAAAAACGTATATGCATATCTGCGTTACCTAATTTCGAGGCGAAGTTAAGAGCATTTTTACACGAATTTACGTCATGGATTGTGTTTATCACATATTGATTTCATGTCAATCATTCTTGACAAAGGCGATGAAATTTTTTCAGAATCCCCTTGAAAAGGAGGTAACTTAACGCGGATGCGTAGCTATACTTTACCTACGAGTGCCCCCTTCTATCCTTTTAGACCCATAATACAACGTGTGAACCTATTATGCGCTTACTACAAACTGCAAGGCGTTAATTAGTGTTTCAAGGGCACTGGGGCGTTCGACATAATATGAAAGCGAATTCTACCCGTTTCATCCTCTTTATATCGGTTAAGTGCGCTCGCTGCGGGGTCTTTCTTTGCATGGTTATCACTACGCTTTACGCGTATACGCGTGCATTACACGAGTTATAACTGCAGTGAGTGAGTACTCGCCGACTGTGAAAGCTAGAGGATCCGATCTATTGCCTAGAAGAGCTGGGGGCTTACGCGCTATCCTCATATAGATATGCTATCCTTGCGTAAGCTGCCGAGAAAACGCCTGTACATCTCCCCCCCCCCCACCCCCTATTGTGGGCCTGCATGTACTCAAGTCGTAGTTACCACCAGTAACTAAGCAATAAGCGAATAAGTTCCTGCTTTGCAGTTTCTCAATATACGAGGAATCTACGAAGGGCTTCATTGCGCCATGGGCATAAGCGTTTTGTGTGTGACAACTAGGCTTACTACAGTGTATGTGTATGTATTTATACACGGCCTATGAATGTAGCAGCGCGCGTATATTGCAGTTATAGATTCTGTAATTGCGTGTGCAACATAGTGCCGTAACATTTTAATACCAGTGAGAGTAACAGAGTGAGACATAAGAGAAGGTATATAGATAAAGTATAAGACAATTGGTAGGATATAAGGCGGTCGGCAAGAAAGCGAGACATTTGTGCAATTCTCTTCTAATAAGATGGGTCACGATTGTTATATATATATATATATATAGAAGTAGATCATAGGGAATCGATAGCGAATCGAATAGGGAATCGATTCCCTATTATCTACTTCTGATATATATATATCTATATAACAATCGTGACCCATCTTATTAGAAGAGAATTGCACAAATGTCTCGCTTTCTTGCCGACCGCCTTATATCCTACCAATTGTCTTATACTTTATCTATATACCTTCTCT